ATACGCAGCCTAACAGAGAGCACCGGTGAATAAAGTTTGTTCGCTTTCACAGGAGGTATGAGGGCAGAATCTCTTTTTGGATTGCTCTCCGTAAAAGCAAACAAGCCTTACCTACCGATATCAGATTCTCTTTGTTCTCTCTCGGCTATCGGCTTGCGGTTGTCGGCTCTCTCGACATTGACGGTTGGAAATTTCTCATCAAGAACTCATCATTAATACTACTTATTGGTCTAGGTACATCGTTTAAGTCATCAGGAAAGGTACTGGTAAACAATTTAGTGTTGTGTATCAAATTGTATTCTTGCCATATTTTAGAAATTTTCTCAAATAAATATTTTGTAAACAGAATGAACGGACAAGTCCCTAATGAGATGCCACCGCATCATTATTATAATCCCCAAGCTGTCCAACCAAGTTTTGTTGGGCCCACATCTCAATATCAACAATGGAAGGAATACTGCCAATGGAAGCAGTGGCAGCATTATCAGACTCAGCAGCAACAATTCCAAGCCCAGTCACCTAGTCACTATTTTCAACCACCACCTGTCAATGGTATTCCCGTACCACCTCCACCCCTTCCAAACAGTACGCCAAATGTAGGCGAAAACCCCAGATCGTTGACACCACCTCTGCAGCAACAAAAAAGTCAGCAAGTGGCACTCCCCTGTAACGAAGGACAATCTCAAAAGTAAGGAAAATAGATCTTGATGTACATGTTTTATTGTTATTATTATTAAGTAGTGTTGTAAAAAGTAGTTTTTAATTCTTAAATTCTAGCATGAATCATAATGCAATTATAATTAGTATTAATATTAAACAGACAATGCACTGATGGCGACTGGGCTGAGTTTGAGAAGCAGTACCCGTACAGGCAGCTGTACGATGACATGGAATATTATAAATCTGTAAGTATTATCATATTAATTTGTTTTATGAAGTGGTAAAAATATTTATTTTTTGTTATTTCTTGCAGAAATTCATAACTGAAAAGAAAAAAAATGCTCTTCTATCAAAAAAATTGTCAGGTAAATTATGAGTTTTCAAACTGGTCTTAATATTTGTAAGTACTTAATGATTATTCAATATCATTTTTATTTACAGGATTAGAGTATGCTCTTAAACAGCTAGACTACTCAACACTGAAGGAGAATAGTAATTAAAATTGTATTGTGAACGTTGAAAAAAAATGAATATTTAATTGTAACTTTTCGTGTTTAGTAGAGTGGTTGTGAAATAAAATTATTTTTTATAAATGCTTTAGCTGTTCTTCGTAATCCCTTTTTTATGATCTACTTATATAGTTTTATTTTAAATGTCCATTTCACATCTGAGTTTGATAATGAATTTTTAATGTAGTCGACCACTGTAGACTAGAACGTAGGTTAGTAGAAGTAGAACGTATAATGTGTAAATAAATATAAATTACAAATAAATATAATCATTGGAACAACATGTCAAAGCAAGAGAGATAGTGTTAAGTTGTCGAGGCGTGTTCGGTGACTCCACGATGGATAAACTTGGCATCAAATAATTAGTTTTCTTATCAATTAAAGAACTAAAAACTATATGAAGTATTTTAAATTCTTGTAGTAACATTGATCGTACAAAAGTTGGCGTTTCATCATTGATTTCAATGTTAAAATCAACGTTGATTCAACATTGATACTGTAGGTGGGGTAGAAATTAGTTTAACTATTATTTGGAATTTTATCTTATTTTCAGATATGTCTTGTTTAGTAAATCTCAAGCCAATCTCAATTTATACCCATGTTATATTTGTTTGATTTTCCTTTTTTTCGGTTTATTTTCGTTTATCAAAAAATCAATTAACCATTAAAAATTGTACAACCAAGTGAATATTTGTATGGATGTATCAATTTTTTTGTTTTATATCACTCAAACAGCTATTGTTGACACTATTACTTATACGTCTCTGTAAATTGTATGATCTGGTACAATCATCAGCAGTGGAATATGAATCCTGGTTAAGACCAAAAAATTCATCCAAAAAAAAAAAAAAAATTGATTGACAGCTGGTTCGTTGAAGGATCAAACAAATGAAAAAGATAACGAAAAAAGGACAGTAAGTGATAAAGGAAATTTTTATTCATTTAAAAACGTTGAACAGCTTCTTTGAAGTTTAGTATCTTCAGAGTCTTCGACATGTTTGCTACAAGGTTCAGGTTCACAAGGATTCCAGGCGATGGGCATCTCTTCCCTTCGACGGCATTGAAATGTTTTTCACGGAGAGATTGCAAATCTCGAATCCCACTGTGCAATAATTGAAGTTTGATCCTCTTCTGAAGCTGTGTGACTACATATACAATAATGATAAAAAATAAATGTTAAAATTTATGATGATAATGATTACAGAGGCTCTTAAATTGGCACCAGTGAGTCTTACCATATCATTCATTTTCAGATCCTAAATGACAAAACGCTGTGAGACTGAAATGGATGAAAGTCCAGAGCTCTCACAGGACCTTCGTGTTTGTCGGAACCGCTAATCAAATAGTTGCTGTCGTTCTCAAACATCTTGTCAGCAGAGTAAATCTTCATTTTTCCATAATTACAGCAACTCACAATAATGCCATCTGGATTCGTTCCACCAGCTCCCACAATAATCGTATGACAATCTGATGGTAATTATAATTATTGTATTAAATTTATCAACGCTATGAATATTTTAAGTATATATAAATAACAAAAAGGGAAAAACCTTTGATAACTTGGCACACTGGTATTGATTGAGAGAATACAAATCCAAACTGACATTACAGGACTAAAACTGACATCCAACTGCTGAGCAGCTGTTCCTGCATCCAAGCAAAATTGGAAAGTTGGTGAGCTGCTGGACTAGAGGTGACCAGGTCACATTTACAGCTTCATGCAACTCCTTAACCTTCATTACAATCATTGTGTTAAATTTCTCAAGACCATGAATATTATAGGTATACATAACAAAAAAATACAAACCATTGATCACTTGGCACACTGGTCTTTAGTTATATATCATAACCTGGCTGCTCCAGATTGAGAGAATACAAATACAAACTGGCATTAGAGTACTAAAACTGAAATCCAAAATTGGAAAGTTGGTGAGCTGCTGGACTAGAGGTGACCAGGTCACATTTACAGCTTCATGCAACTCCTTAACCTTCATTACAATCATTGTGTTAAATTTCTCAAGACCATGAATATTATAGGTATACATAACAAAAAAATACAAACCATTGATCACTTGGCACACTGGTCTTTAGTTATATATCATAACCTGGCTGCTCCAGATTGAGAGAATACAAATACAAACTGGCATTAGAGTACTAAAACTGAAATCCAAAATTGGAAAGTTGGTGAGCTGCTGGACTAGAGGTGACCAGGTCACATTTACAGCTTCATGCAACTCCTTAACCTTCATTACAATCATTGTGTTAAATTTCTCAAGACCATGAATATTATAGGTATACATAACAAAAAAATACAAACCATTGATCACTTGGCACACTGGTCTTTAGTTATATATCATAACCTGGCTGCTCCAGATTGAGAGAATACAAATACAAACTGGCATTAGAGTACTAAAACTGAAATCCAAAATTGGAAAGTTGGTGAGCTGCTGGACTAGAGGTGACCAGGTCACATTTACAGCTTCATGCAACTCCTTAACCTTCATTACAATCATTGTGTTAAATTTCTCAAGACCATGAATATTATAGGTATACATAACAAAAAAATACAAACCATTGATCACTTGGCACACTGGTCTTTAGTTATATATCATAACCTGGCTGCTCCAGATTGAGAGAATACAAATACAAACTGGCATTAGAGTACTAAAACTGAAATCCAAAATTGGAAAGTTGGTGAGCTGCTGGACTAGAGGTGACCAGGTCACATTTACAGCTTCATGCAACTCCTTAACCTTCATTACAATCATTGTGTTAAATTTCTCAAGACCATGAATATTATAGGTATACATAACAAAAAAATACAAACCATTGATCACTTGGCACACTGGTCTTTAGTTATATATCATAACCTGGCTGCTCCAGATTGAGAGAATACAAATACAAACTGGCATTAGAGTACTAAAACTGAAATCCAAAATTGGAAAGTTGGTGAGCTGCTGGACTAGAGGTGACCAGGTCACATTTACAGCTTCATGCAACTCCTTAACCTTCATTACAATCATTGTGTTAAATTTCTCAAGACCATGAATATTANAAAAAGGTCCAGACTTCTTCGTTATCAGCACCGGCACAGGACAGGACTGGGCACTAATGCAACGATTAGCTGACAAAATACAAACACCGTGTGTCGACGGCCGAGTTATACCCGATAGACGCGGCGACACTCATGCAATGCGCAATTTGAGAACCGTTGTCGTAGCAGACGACGCTACGGTACTGTCGGTAGCAACTACAGGCTCTGAAGTTAGCTTCGGAAAAAAGTAGGCCCCCCACTTCTCTCATTCTGGTGTGAGAGTGGTGGGGGGCCCACTTTTCCGCCATGTTGAAATTTTCTGTGCCATCGCTGGTACGTGTCGTACATGGATTAATCTATTATTTTAAATCTGCTTCATTATTAAATTACTTTAAGACAAAACTGTCTTATCACTATGATTTATCTTATCGTCAAGAAAAAATTTAAAGTCATTAGTGATGTATAGAGGGGCGTTACGGAAAGCGCCATTATTGTTACATATTAAATTAAAAAGTTAACTGTTATATTATATAGTGACAGTCTTTCAATAAAAATACAATTTAATATATCATAAAAATAATATGTAATATAGATTCCATCCACACATTATAGATATGCAATAATTTTCAGTTGACGATGATTTTCTCCAATTATTTCGCACTGGGTCACTCGTATTTTGCAGTATTTACGACCCTACAACTAACTAACTTTTAATCAGTATACTGGTTAAATATATCGATATTAACAATGAATTACATGACCGTTGTTACAACACATATATGTCAGGTAATCAGTACAAAATTAAACTCGATATCATCGCAAGCCTGTCATAATATTATCACCCTTCAAAACATTGGCTTCAGAGAGCTGCAGTGCAGCGTCAACCTTTCCGTTGTTTTCCATTGCAGACAAAAAGCCGTGGTGTATAAATTGAACGAGTTCGGCAGAGTCGTTGCAACTTCAAATCTACGTACAACCACCCTTCTGTACACAGTTGGCAATTGCGCGCGAATTACTCGGATTTTGACCAAACAGTTGGTCAAATTCATTTGTTTCGACATTCAGGTAGTTAATGGAACACAAAAAGTGAGTTACTCTTGTAAAATGTGCCCGAAAAGTTATTTTTTTTTTTTTTTGCATTAATACCATTACCACAACTAGTCGGAGCTTCGAAACCATGACTCAGATAAAATTAAACAATTTGTGCTTGAGTTCCCCCCCCCCCCTGTGAGTACAAGTCTCAACTTTTAACCCCCAATACAAAAAATCGTGGATGAGACAGGACCAAATTAGTATTCTTAACGATATCTTAAGTATTGGTACTCTTCAACGACAGAAGCGTGCCGCGCAAAAGCATTTCCACCCCCTACCTGTCTATCTCATAATTTTTCATAGATATGCACTTGTACGCACGCGTATAACATTAGGATACACTCTTGCGCTCGGTGCCCATCAGAGTTGGGTGATGTCTCTCTCGTCTCGGCGTCCTTCTGTGTCGTACATATAATCCAGACTTACCTTACTAAGGGCGTAGAAACTCAGTACATGTATAAGCTCTTTATTACATCGGAAGCTATAGTGTTCCAGAGAAGGAGTGTCCGTGTCAAAGAAAAAAGCATAGCTACTGTCGGGAGCCTTGGCACGGACATGCTGTACCATTTAGGACCGCTATGCTCCCAAAATTGGTTAGTGTTAGTACTGTAGAGTTTGCAGTGTCGGTAATGCAACTGTACCTACGGTCTCTCAGTGCACGTGTGTACGTGCACACGGTAGCTGCAGAGACACCCAATTTTTTTCTTATCCCCAGTGTCTTTCGGGTCTTTGGGATATTATTACATATCTATGCAACAGCAGATGCAACGCGACCTTGACCAAACAGCGCCTACCAACTTTGTTTTCATTCGCTGCTCATATTTCTCTGTATACTTTCCATTATAATCAAGAGGGTCTTGCCGTGGTGCACTTTGTCATAACTCCGTGTTCAACTTACGGTATGCCCACCCGTTGACAACAAGTTAAGTGCATACAGAGACTGGCGTTGTTGCAAACTGAAAATTTCACAAAAACCGTACACGCCCTCGCGAGAACTTTGTCTCGATTCCCTTCAGAGTAAAAGTGCTCTCTCTTGAGCACGCGTGCTCCAGACCCCCCTTCCCCAAAAGAAGTTTGTCTTACTTAACGGCAAATCGCTTTTTCAAAGCGCTATGCTATGAAATAAGGGTTTTCTCAAGTATAATCCCACATTATCAAAGCTTTGACATTGAGACTTGTTTATAGTCATAGCAAATGCTACAAATAATGGGAATTATTTTCTATGTAAAATAAAAAGTAATGATAAAGTACTTCCAGTATTTATTGCAATTCTTGAAATAAAAACCTCATTACCAATTTTTCTTCCGTAACTATTTCGCCTTCGTCATTGTACTTCAACAATTTAGGGAATCGCAATTTTATACCGTTACAAAACCCGTCTGATATACTCAAATTTCAAATTATCGTTACAATTATACCTATTTTTTAATTTAAGTTCATGAGATGGCAAGCTTTCACGAATATTGTATTACATTTCTATGGAAAAATTTATATAAATATTATAATCTGATTTATCAACACCTTTACAGGTTGCAGTATTGATGCTGTAATAACCCACTGGTTGTGTACGTGATTAATGTCACAATCAAATCTAACGAGTTATTTTACTATGCCAAAGATTATAGTTTGTACGTGCATGGTAACGACGCAATGCAGTGCCGTTATACGCGCCGTTCGTCGGAATGGTTATAAAATTTAAAAAAATTTGTCTTTTTTAATTTTCATTTTATTTCTACGAAGCTGATTAGTTTTACCCTTCCTCAGCCACTGTCCATTACTCCTTATTTCTTAGATATGATTCATTCAATAGTGAAGTATTTAACCGGTTCGAAAGTTAGAAGGTTAGAGCGCGAAGCGCGCAAGGGGGTGGAGCGAGGGCCTTTCAATCACACACACACACACACACACACACACGCACACACATACACATATCTTTCTATATTATATAGTTGCTAGGGCCATCTTTACGAGTCCCTTTCCGCAGACCCCCCACCACCCACAATGTCCCATTACCCCCCGCAAAATAAGGGAAAATTCGATCATTGTCAATGATATTTTAACCCAACATAATAATCGAAGACCCAGTAAGTACCTCCTGCCCCTCTACAGCCTTCCCACACAATTGTTGAAGTCCTCCCATGACCTCCACCCGCAGCCCCTTCGCATTATTTTCCAGTTTTGTAAGATTAATTTTTAACTAAACTTTAAGATTTTCAAGATTGAGGTTAACTTTACACTATACATAAAAAGTTTTGTAGTTCTAAGTTTTGAAGTTTTAAGTATTTCTATTTTTTTTAAATAAGAACTTAAAAATACAGTGTCATAATAAATAATTTATTTTTTTGTGTTTTTACTTGTTTACAGTCTATTTTTTAAAATAAATTTAAATTTATTTAAAAACTAAACATTTTACAGAAAAAAGAAAAAATTATAAAGAATAAACTTTGACAAAACAATTATCAATTGGTTAACGATCAAAAATTTCTTTCCATACAACATTTTCAATGTTTGATTGATTTTCCAAAGTATTTTGAATAAATATACGTTTAGGATTCTTAAATCTTTAAACCAATACATACAGTCGTCCAAGAGAAAACAAAGGTCTTTCGTAGCAAAATCCTATTTTGTCGAAACTTGGACTTCGTAATTTATTGATTTTTATGTAAAAAGCTAGAACCAATAGAAACTTTTTTTTGTGTAAAATTAACGGTAAAAATATTTTTGCTGGTATTTAAAAAGATTCTGGATTTGAAATCTCTATTACTATACTTTTAAAAAGTTATTATTTCTGCCGTTAAATTATATGTTAATATTTTGTTATACGTAGTTTAGGACCATTAAACAAACCATCAAATATACTTAAGTTTCTTATCAACATTCAGAGTTGATTTTGGAAAATTTGTTCATATTATGTTCAGTGCGATCACTACCTTTATATTGTGCATAGTCTATACTGTAATAAGTATCTAATGTCCCTTTGAGAAAACTCAAAATTTGATTATTTAAAATATACGAGCGTACGTTATAAGGCGTCAAAATGACTCTTTCTGATAAGCTCCTTCTACCATCCCATACATTTGGTTACAAATATTATCAGTTTTCCATTGTTGACAAATTTTAGAAGACTATGGTTCTGTTTCTAATGTCTATTAACAATAATAAAAATTGTTTATCTGCGTACGGCATATTATTTTTCGATTTCAACATTTTTAGGTGTTTCCATGGAGATAAATACTTTATAGTTTGACTAATTATACAATAACTATTTAATGAAATTATAGAACTTTTACACTTATGCTTAATTACTGGAAGTATTAGTCTACAATTGCCTCCTTAAATGAATCATTTTCTACAGAATAAATAGTTATTATTACTTAAATCTTTCACAGTTGTATCCACAACTTCCAAAGCTCTTCTAGGGATCATTATAGCTTCGTCTTTGATGATTACATTTACTTCTCGTAACTTTTTTGATCAGTTTTGTATTAAAGAAAAAAACTTTTGATGTTATTCAAACATAATGATAATTAAAATGTACTATAACTTACTATCCCTTTTAGTAATATAATTGAAGAAATTCAATGTTATTTGGACCGAAATGTTTTGAAAATTCAAAAAAACTTTCATCTATCTACAAACGTTTTACATTTTATGTTGTTATCCGTAATTTGTAAATTAGCAAATTTTGTAAATTTTATTTTGAAAAATAAGAAATTAAAAAAATTACTACGAAATAACTTGTTTTTTATATGTTTATCTGTTTTTAATATGTAAAAAATATTTTGCACGTACTTCCAAGAAAATGAAATAAAAACTAAGAAAAAAAATTGAATACTAACGAAATATTGTAACGTACGATATGCAAGG